GCTCTACCACTGAGCCACCTTCCCAGCCCCCCATGAGACTCTTATCTGCAATTAACCCCTATAAAACCAGAAGTAGAGCTGTGCTAAAAGTGGTAGAGTGCTAGCCTTGAAAGAGCTCAGGGACAGCACCCAGGCCCTAAGTTCAAGTCCCACAATAGACCAAACCAAAAAAAGGAAGAAAAAAAAAAAGAAAAAAGAAAGTGGGAGAAAGAAGAGAGAGAGAAGTAGGGGTAAGAAATGCAATTTCCAAGCCAGGTGTGATAACGTGTATAATCTGGCATTTAGGAGGCTGAGGAGGATTGAGAGTTCAAAGCTACCCCATCTCAAAAAGGGGGGAAAAAGTGAGAAAAGCAATAATAAGTATTGGTAGAAGTGTTATTATGGGCTAGGCATTGTTTCATCTTACATGAGATAGATATATTATTCCCATTTGACATATAGAAACATTGAGTCACAAGAGTAGCTAACTCATCTGCACCAAGTTATACCAAACTTGAAGAAAATAAGTTACAGACAATTTAATATCTAACATTTTTCTTCTGGTTTTATCAGTTTTAGAATCTGCTTTCCAAAACCTAATATTATATCCTGAGTATCTTCTCATGTTACTAAATATACTTATATATATATATATATTAAATATGCATTTCTTTTTTTGGTGTTTTTTTTGATACAGAACTGAATTTGAATGCAGATCCTCAGGCTTGTTAAGCCCTTTCTTGCTTTAGTCTTCAGGTAATGTGTTTTTGCCTGGCCTACTTTGGACTGCAGTTCTCCTATACCTATAACCTCACTTAAGATGGGACCATAGATATGTGTGATCACACTCTTATATCACTACACCCAGCTTTTTAAATGAGATAAGGTCTTGCTAACTTATCTAAGTTGGTCATGAACTGTGGATCCTCCAGATCCCTGCCTATGTACCAATGATTACAGGCATGAGCTACTGGGCCTACCCAAAAACAAGTTTTAATCATTATATAGTATTTCCTTGTATAGCTACAGGATCATTTTTCTAACCCCAACTCTTTTTTGATTATTTCTAACTATTCTACATCGTATTTTGTTGTTGTTTTTGGTGCTGCACTTGGGGCTTGAACTTAGGGCCTAAGCTCTACTTCGAACATTTTTGTGGCTATATAAGTCTCACAGACTTTCTTGCCCAGGCTAACTACAAATAGTGATCCTCAGATCTCAGCCTCTGAGTAAGCTAGGCTTATAGGCATGAGCCATCACGACCAAAGAATGAACTTTAAACATTTTGACCTTAAAAAGATTTCAACTGTGAAGTGCTAAAGTAGTTGATCAGCTTGATTTAATTATTCTATACTATAAATATACAAACATATAAAAATTACATTCTATTTCATAAACAATTATTATTTGTCAATTTAAAACAAAATGTAAAAAAAGGACTCAAAGACATCTTACTTGGATTCAGAAAGTGGCTCATTAAGTTCTTCTTCTATAGCAACATTGCTCTCTTCAAAACTGGGAATGTCAACTGCTTTTAGTGAAGATGCATTATCTGGAAGATTTGTATCTTCATTAATAATATCAACAGAAAAATTCATATCCTCACTGGAAATCTTGGTATCATCTTGCTTCAGCCGAGAGTCAGGCTCTTGACCATCATCTGCTGCATTCCAAAATAAGCTAGCACCTGGAAATTAAATGATGTAACACACACTGAAACAAATATTCACCTATGAAAATAATAAACATGAAAACTACTAAAGCCAGCTGTATGAGCAGCTATTCTATTTTAACACAATTGCTTATAACTGTTTTCATATTTTCCTCAGAAATGTCACAAACAGGTAGGTAAAAGACAGAAAACCTCGGGCACAGGGAAAGGGTTCATGCTGAGTCCTGCTTCTTTAAGAGGAGTCTCTGATTTATATCTTAAGGTCCTGACAGCCAGGTATGGTGGTACACTTGAACTCCCAGCATTCATAAAGCTAGGCAGGCGGATTGAGAGTACAAGGCTAGCTTGGGCTATATATGGATTTCAATGGAAGTCCAAGCTACACAGCAAGACCATGTCTCAAAACAAAACAAAACAAAGGAGTAGAAAAAAATATACCAAGTAACAAGTCCCTAGGTTCTCTGGTTTTTATCTTAAAATGCTACATTAAAAAAACTATATTAGAGATGCACCAAATATATCAGGTAAGTATTTATGAAATGTTTCAGCAGGGTGCCCAGTGGCTCACATTTATAATTCTAGCTAGTCAGGAGGCAGAGATCTGAGAATTGTAATTTGAAGCCATTCTGGCTAGGAAAGACTGAAACTCGTTTCCACTAAACTCAAAAGAGCCAGAAGTGGCACTGTGGCTCAAATGGTAAAGTGCTAGCCTTGAGCAAAAGCAGCTCAGGAATAGCGCTCAGATCCTGAGTTCAAGTCCCAGTGCCAGCGTGCACACGTGCACGCACGCGCGCGCGCATACGCGCATACACACACACACACACACACACACACACACACACACACACAGAAATGATTCCCAAACTTTATGGACTATTTGTACATATTTATAGACCTTTCTTATATATTAGTTGCTTAGTTTTATTCATTAAATTATTATTATTATTTTGTTGGTCATGGGGCCTGAACTCTGGGCCTGGGCCCTGTCCCTCAGCTTTTCAGCTCAAGGCTAGCGCTCTACCACTTGAGCCACAGTGCCATTTCCAGCTTTTTCTTATTATGTGGTGCTGAGGAATTGAACCCAGGGCCTCATGCATGCAAAGCAAGCACTCTACCACTTGAGCTACCTTCCCAGCTCTCTCTCTCTCTCTCTTTTTTTTTTTGTTGGTCATAGGGCTTGAACTCTGGGCCTGAGCTCTATCTCTAAGCTCTTCAGCTCAAGGTGAATGTTCTACCACTTGAGCCACAGCGCCACTTCCGGCTTTCTGGTGGTTAATTGGAGATAAAAGTCTCACAGACTTTTCCTGCCTGGGCAGGAAAAAGATAAAAACCAGAGAACCTAGGGACTTGTTACTTGGTATATTTTTTTGAACTGAGATCCTCAGATCTCAGCCTCCTGAGTAGCTAGGATTACAGGCGTGTGCCACCAGCACCTGGCTAAATTAATTCATTTTATTTTTACCTTATCTGATCCTTTTTTGTGAAATCATAGACTTGATATACTAATTATACCTTTTCTAGTACTCACAAGAAAAAACACTCAACACATGAACTATTCATCTGCATATTACCCCAAATTCTCTTTTGAACCATGAGTTATCTGCATGCTATATTTTGGGAAATAATAGTATATACATAATTGTTGAAAGAAATGGTTAAAAATGTTTTTAAAGCTTCTTTTATTTCTTTTTTCTTTTCTTCACCCCTGCCCTTGGGACAGGGTCCTAGGCTACAAACCCTCAAACTTCCTGCCTCAGTCTCCTGAATGCTGAGATTATAAGTATGTGGTATTCACCATACCAGCCTTTTAAAAAATTGTTTATACTTTGGAGATTTACTTTTGTGATTTTATTTTTAAAAAATTAATGAAAGCAAGATTTAACTTTTTATTATTTTTTCTTAAAAAACAAACTTGAAAAGTTACATTGGTCCTGCCTACTATTCCTGACTTTCTTTGTATATATACATACAGACACATACATTTATGGAGACAAGAATATGTGGAACTGATGTACTTCTCTAATAAACATTATTTCAAGTAACTATTAATTTTTACTGGGATGCTACTGAATTATGCCTGTAATGCTAGCTATTCAGGAAGGTGAGACCTGGAAGATTGAGTTTTGAAGTTGGCCCCAGCGGTAAAATCCAAAAGACTCTATCTCCACTAACCAACAAAATGCTAGACTAGCAAGAAAGCCAAGAAAGAGCTCTAGACCCTGAGTTCAAGCCTAGGGACTAGCACCAAAAGAAATCTGAACAAATAAAAAAATAATTTTTATATGAACAACTCTGAATGTTAATAGACAACATTTTCAAATGTTCAAACTCTGTATTTGTTTGAAACCTTGTCCTCAATCGCAGAATATCATTCAAACATGAGTCAACACCTTTGGTGTATGAGTAAGCCAGAATCCAGATCCCAAAATCTTATAGTCTAGTGATGGACATGTATGAGAAAGTTTAATACAGTAAACACAGAATTAAAAATTCTTTAATGGGTGGGCTGGGAAGGTGGCTCAGTGGTAGAGCGCTTGCCTTGCATGCATGAGGCCCTGGGTTAGATTCCCCAGCACCACATAAGCAGGAAAAAAAAAGCCGGAAGTGGCACTGTGGCTCAAGTGGTAGAGCGCTAGTCTTGAGCTGAAGAGCTGAGGGACAGTGCCCAGACCCAGAGTTCAGGCCCCACAACTGGACCCCCCCCCAAAAAAATTTTTTTTAGTGGCACACAGAAAAATACTCCACTTTTTGTATGTTTACTTAGCTCACAGTACCCACAAGTTCCTGTAATACTACCTCTCCAAAACACAAATGCACGCAGGCATAGTTTCCCTAAGACTGTTGCCTTTGCAATGAACAAAGATGGGACTATAACAGATAAATTTCTGTTTCTCAATACCCTTTCCACTAAACCAGTGGTAAGCTAACATGCAAACTCTAGGTCTGCCACATTTTAAAATATATAGCAGTGAAGCCAGATTACAGATAGAAATGGGTGAAAAAGCCAAGTAGAGTCCTACTGGTAGCATAATTTCTAGCTATACTCTTTTCCTAATGTCCTATGTTATTTACAGTCAAAGAATTTTCACTAATCCTAAATAGTACCCGTGACTTAAAAATAGGTGTCTCTCCCTTGTTGCTCCCCTCAATATAATAGCTTAGAAAACAAGCAGGTTCAAGACCAGTAGAAATTTTTGTTCTTATATTCTCTCTTAAATGTTTATTCTGGGGGTTAGAGGTGTGGCTCCGTTAATGAGAATTCCAGCCAATAAGGGAAAGCATCAGGCACTGAGTACTCAGATAAAAACAAAGCTTATTCTGTCACTTCAATTCATCATTTGTTGTTTCTGCCAGTCCTTTATCAATCATCTCACACTCCATTTCATGACTTTTAAGAATAATGACATTTCCCATAGTAGCTCAGTCTCTGGATTTTTAAATTGATCTCCATATTCTCTTCTGTACTTCTCTAACTTCTTTTTAACGCTACTAGCATTAGTCAACTTAATTTTGGAATAATTCTAGACTTACAATAAAGAATAAACTTCCTGTATACCCTAACTTAATTTTCCTTGTTGTTAACAGCTTTTTTTTTGTCGGTCGTGGGGCTTGAACTCTGGACCTGGGTACTGTCCCTCAGCTCTTCAGCTCAAGGTTAGTGCTCTACCACTTGAGCCACAGTGCCACTTCCTGTTGTTAACATATTACCAATATCTATATTTGCCAAAATTAAGAAGCTAACATTGGTACATTACTATCAAATTAAAACTCCAAGCTTTATTTGGATTCCATCAATTTTTCAACTAATGTCCTTTTCCTTTTCAGGATCCAATCTAGGCCATTACATTGTGTTCTGCTTACATGGCCTTTTATACTACATGATTTTTCCTCCTAATTCTTCTCCTAATTCCTTTCCTCCTCTCCTTCCCTTTTCTGTCAGTCACATTTTAAAATATAAAGCAGTGAAGCCAGACTCAAGAAAAAACATATTTACAAACATGAAATACTCATCTGTATACTATTTCAAATTCTCCGCTTTCCTCACCTCTACTCCTCACTTTTTTTTGGTGGTACTGGAATTGAACTCAGTACCTTCACTTGCTAGGCAAACACTCCATCACTTACTTCAGCGATGCCCCTAGTTCTTTTGCTTTTGTTTTGCAGATAAGAGTCTCATGAACTTTTGCATGGGCTGCCTTGAACCAAGACCCCCTCATCTATGTCTTCTGAGTAGCTTGGGATACAGGTGTGAACCACACTTGGCCCTCCTTTCCATTCTTAGCCCTACCATAGCTACAGCTAAGAGCCCTGTGTCTTCTTAGTGAGCCTGTCTTATGATTCCTCAATTCCTTTCAAGGTCCAGACTCACTAACAATATGTAGATGAAACCTTTCCTTCATCCTTCAAACCACAGACATTTCTCTTATTAGAACTCTGTTCAACCCAGGAAAGTAATAAAGCCCAACTATATGTCATGTGATAAAGTTTTGTGTCTGCTTTCAGGTGCAAATTTATTTAATAAAGAATAAAATTACAAGGAAGAAAAGCTGTGGCTCAAGTGGTCCAGTGAGCCTTCAGCAAAAGAACCTCAGGGATAGTGCCCAATCCCTGAATTCAAGCCTCAGGACCTGCACCCTCCAATAAACAAATAAAAACAAATCAAGAAGAAAATTACAGCCAAGTGCTGGAGGCTCACGCCTGTAATCCTAGCTACTCAGGTGGCTGAGATCTGAGCATCCCAGTTCAAAGCCTGGGCAGGCAAGTCTGTGAGACTCTTATCTCCAATTAATCACAGAAAAAGCCAGAAGCAGAGCTGTGGCTCAACTGGTACAGCACTAGCCTTGAGCAAAAGAAGCTCAGGGTCAGTGCCCAGGCCCAGAGTTCAAGCCCCAGGACCAAAAAAGAAAAAAAAAAGAAGAAAAAAAGAAAGAAAAAGAATTACACACACACACTTAAAACAAGTTACACTCTTATCATCTCTGTTTTAGATCTACTGTATTATAAACCAATGAATTAAAAACAAACAAACAAACATTACCTGTGCTCACAGCAATGCTTACACTTTTTCTCAAGTTTATGCCAGGTGAGTCAGAGGGTGTTTCCATGGATACCAGCTCGACTTGTCTTGCATCTTCACCAGCAGCTGTCTTAGAAGAGCCAGCCTTCAGAGACTGTGCTTCCAATAAACGCTGAATCTGTATCAATCACAAACATACTTTTAACAATGAAGTGGTCAACAAAACTGATAGCAGAGTTTAACAACAAATTACAAGGTGACAAGTTATAAAGAACACACTTTTAGCTATATTATCACATTACAATTAGATCATACCATGAAACTTCAATATAGAGAGCCATTATCATTAGTTATTAAGAAGCACTTAAAGTCAAGTATAAATTAAAAAGTGAAGTATAAAGATTGTCATTTATGTAGAAAAGTGTAAATGCCATTATTTCAAATTGACATTCCTACTTCCCTATAAACCAAGTAAGAATGGAGTAAATTCAGACTGCATACCAAAGGCTGAACACTACAGATTGTTTTTATAAACGTTCATTGGAACTGCCCATATATGGCTATGCTGAAACTAGAAGTATTAATAAACAATAGCTAATAATTACTGAGTTGTTTCTTGTTTGTAAGACACTATACCACAAGCTATTTTTTTTGGGGGGGATGTCAGTGGTGGGGCTCCAGTCTAAGTGGTGCTGTCCATGAGCTTTTACTCAAGGCTAGTGCTCTACCACTTTGAGCTACGGCTCCACTTCCAGCTTTTGAGCAGTTAACTGGAGATAAAAGTGTCACAGGGACTTTTCTGCCTGGACTGGCTTCAAACTTTGATCCTCAGATCCCAGCCTCCTGAGTAGCTAGGATTACAGGTGTGAGGCACCGGTGCCCAGCTTCCACAAGCTTTCATGAATGATTTTTGTTTTTTTTATAATTCCATGAAGAGTATATTGCTATTACAAAGATAAGAAAACAAGAGGCACTCAAAGTTACTTGTTCAGGTAGCATACATAACTAACAGAACAGTAGCAAAACTTAGATTCAAACGTCTAAGTCTCCCACTCTTCTTTTAAAATTGAGATATGTTACATACCCATTGCTAATTCAGTAGTTCTTATTACATTCACGAAATGCGCAACCATCACCACCACAAATAATTCCAGAATACTTTCATCAAACTTCAAAGACTCTATTACCCATGAAGCAGTCACTCCTCATTATCCTTCTCCCCAGGACCTAGCTTCCACTTATCTACCTACCTCTATGAATTTGCCTATTCTGGATATTTTATTTAAATAGAACCATGTGGCTGGCTTTTTCAATCAGACTAACACTTTCAAAGGTTTAACTATGTCATAGATTACCTACTTTCTTTTTTATTGTCGGTCATGGGACTTGAACTCTGGGCTTGGGCGCTGTCCCTGCACTCTTTAGCTCAAAGCGAGTACTCTACCACTGGAGCCACAGTGCCACTTCTGGTTTTCTAGTGGTTTACTGGAGATAAGAGTCTCACGAACTTTCCTGCCCAGGCTGGCTTTGTACTGTGATCCTCAGATCTCAGCTTCCTGCGTAGCTAGGATTACAGGCGTGAGCCACCAGCACTTGGCCTGCACTTTTAATAGCTAAAAATTCCATTGTATGGATATATCACATTGTATTTATCCATTCATCAGCTGATTGACAACTATGTTGTTTACAGTTTGGGCTCATATGAAAAATGTTGCTATGGACATTTATATATAAGGTTTTGTGTAGATATATTTTTTCATTTCTTTTGGATATATACTAAAGCCACCCTTTTTACATACTGTTATCTTCTACTTCCTATTAATGATATTATTATACTTAACTTCTCATTATTTTTAGATTAATGTAAGTACTATCAATATATTATGGTCAGTAGAAATACACATAAAATCAATATAACATGTATTTATAGTATTTTGTAGTACAGATTTTGGTGTTATGAAAATGTAAGTCTAAATCTTACTCTGCTACATTTTGGATAAGCTAATTAACCATTGTAATCTTTAAGTAAAATGTAATATGTGATAATGAAGGAGATTATTGAAAGAGATGAATTGGGTATACTATTTATGAATATTGCACATGTATTTGTACAGTTAGAGGATCATGGAAAAAATATGGAGAATACATTTCAAATTATTTCCATTGGTTTGGGATAATAAACAGAGGAAAGATTCTAATGAGGAAAGAAAAAGAAAAGACTAGAACAGCCAAAAATGTCCAGCAAAGACATATTAAGACATTAAAAGCCTCAAAGAAAGAAAACATTTCAGAACCAAGCAAATGAAACAAATCCACTACACACATGGAGAGGTTCTGGATTATTTAAGGTGCAGTGGACCAAAAGTTAGTATGAATACTAAAAGTTGTCAAACTAGAGCTATGTCAGCATTTGCATTTAGTCATATATAAGGGTTTAGCAAATTATATAAGCAATAAAAGCAAATTATTTTATAGGTTAGGGTATGTACAGATAAAGAAAAAGAAGTCTTGCTTTCTAGTCTTAATATGCTTTCTAGTTTTAATATGCATAGAAAAGTGGCATTAAGTAAATTATTCTCTGAAATCCTCATTTTATTTATTGGTAAAATAAGAACCAGATTTCAGTTTTTAAAGTCTTTCTAGCTTCTGATATTCTGCAGTTCTATGCTCTGATATACAATTCTATGAAATATAATCACTGCAAGTTTTAGTTTTTTAAGAAATCACTTCAAGTGGGGTGCTAGTGGCTCATGCCTGTAATCCTAGCTACTCAGGAGGGTGAAATCTGAGGATTGTGGTTGAAAGCCAGCTCGGGCAGGAAAGTCTGTGACACTCTGATCTCCAATAAACCACCAGAAAAACAGGAAATGGTGCTGTGGCTCAAGTGGTAGATTGCTACCCTTGACCTGAAGGGCTGAGGTACAGTGCCCAGGCCCAGAGTTCAAGTCCCACAACTGACAAAAAAAGAAAAGAAAAGAAATCACATCAATTCTAAGAATTTGACAAAACAGAAAGTTCCAGGCAAACCTGGGCCTGAAGTAGTCTCAGCTGTCTGTCTTGCTCTGTGACAAACCGATATGCATCTGGTGATAGCCCCATCATTCCATTATCCGAACCAGTCTTGGGTGTGTGCATGCATACTGGACAAGGCTGTGGGTTACATGAGTCCACATGTGGAGGTCCTGCCACTGGAGATGGTTCTACATTGTTGTGAGGAGAACAAATGCCCATGCTTCCTTGAGGTCTTGAGGTGATAGGACTACTTGAAGAATAGACTGCATTGTGGTACAGAGCTGGACCTCCAGTTGGGTGAAATAAAGAATGCTTTTGAAGGGCTGCAGACTGGAGGTCTTGAATAGATCCTGCTGTATTTATTCCTTGCCAAGAATTGATTGTACTGTACTGAACATGGCCATGATGCTGACAGCAACTGCAAACATTTGTGGGATAGAAAGATGGTAGGGAGGGAGAAGGTATCTGAAGTTCCATTGGTCTTCCTGAATTAGGTGGTGAGAACATAAAATTGTGTGGGTGAGACTGTGGGGCAAGAGAAGACTGCCTAGAATTAAATGTGGATGCTCTTCCGGGATAGTCTTCTTTTTGTATATTCCCAGTAGAAACTGCTTGAAGCTTCTCAGATATATCAGGAGGTAGCACAGTGTGAGAAGATGGTTTGGTACTGTTGTTCCTGAAATAGGGGTTTCCTTTCATATAGGGAGATGAGTCTCTTACTTGGCAATGTCTCAAACAAGCAATGCCCTGGTTTAACTGATTGGGAATCCCTTTCAACGAAGGCTCTCCAGCTTCAACTTCTGGGCCATGTTTCTCATCATAAAGCTCAGGTTGCAATGGCTTCAAGTGTTCAGAGTGGTTCACCAGCAAGGGAAGATTTTCAGTGTTTGGCATTTTCAATGGATTAGACAGGTGATTAGACTCTATGTAATTGCCATCCAACACAAGAGAAAGTTCAGGAACTGATGGTTGGATCTTAGAAATCTACAAAAGGGGAAAAGAAGAAATTTTTTAGAGAAATATACATACTTTACTTTCTTAGGCCAGTATTTCCCAAATATTCTACTTTGTTAAAAAATTATTCATTACTAGTCCTAAGTACTCAGGATGGTGAGATCTAGAGGATCATGGTTTGGGACCAAATGGGGCAGAAGAATCCATGCAACTCCATCTCCAACATAACCAGCAAATACCAGGTTGTAGAGTGGCTCAAGTAGCAGAGCACTAGCTGAGCAAGCAAATCCCAGTACCATAAAAAGCAAACAAACCCAAACCTAATAATTTCCCAGATTTACTTAATAGTGAGATTGACCCCTAAGCCAAAGCTTTGTGAAAAATCTTGGATTTATGGGGAGGGAAGGTGGGAAAGTGTGTACCTAGCTGTCCTTTCCCTGAAGAAGACTAAAGTCTCCATGGGCTTTCATGATCCCAGCTATGGGGTATTTTATTTCATAATTGATTTTGCTGTATCTCAGTATTTCCTTTCCCATTTTCAAATTTGTTTTTTTTGTTAATACCTGCTGACTCTTCCCTTCCCTACTTATTGATATTCAAAAAAAAAAGGAGGGGGGATTTCTTCAATAGAACATTAATTGACATTGTTTAGGTCGCAGAGTGCAATATAGGAAGCTGTTTTATGTAAGTTTTTACCCTTACTCTGCCAAAAATAATTATTTCATGTAGAATATTCCAACAGATATAGCTCCAAATGTTGATGCAACTCAAATAACCAGGGATTCTCCAGAAAATGATTTAGAATATTTTTCTACTAAGTGAAGTTAGTCATTTCTTCTAATATCAACTAAAATGAATGGAAATATGCTTCACCATCATATTAATTTTTAAAAATTGTTATTTTATATGTGTGTTTGCTGGTACTGAGGCTTGAACTTGGGGCTTGGATACTATCCTGCTGTCCCTGAGCTTTTTTGTTCAAGGCTGGTGCTCTACCATTTGAGCTACTTTGTTTTTTTGTGATGATTAACTGGAAATGAGTCTCATGAACTTTCCTACCCAGGCTGGCTTTGAACTATAATCCTCAGATTTCAGTCTCCTTAGTAGCTAGGAATATAGGCATGAGAAACTGGCCCCTCGTTTCCTATTCCTTTTCTTTGGAAGTAATAGAGTTTGAACTCAGGGTCTCATGTACTCTATCATTTGAGCTGTGCCCCAACTTTTTTTTTTTTTTTGCTGTGCTTCAGTTATTTTTTGAACATGATCTCCCATTTTTGGCCAAGACCAGCTTCTGGCCTCAATCTTCCTACCTACTCATGAGAAATTGGAACCATAAACACATATCAGGTTTGCTGGTTGAGATGAGGTCTTAACTTTTTGCCCGGGCTGGCCTGGAATGGCAATCCTCTTGATCTTCATCTCCTGAGTAAGTGGGATTAGATGGATGTACCTCAAGTGTGTATACACTTAGCCTTCCATTCATTTTTCTTCTAAAAAGATAACCAGTTCAGTTAAGATAAACAACAATTCTAAAATAACCCACTGGTTTGCAGTAATTGAAAAAATACAACAGTGGTTATTAGCAACTCACATCTGAATACAAGTAGATGTTTCCTCAGAAAATAGTAATAAAATTAATGTCAGGTGGCTTTGGTAATAGTATAGATAAAAGATTCTAAAACCAAATCACACTAATCAGAATCTCAGGTTCACTACTCACCAGTTTCGTGATTTTGTACAGGGAAATAAATCTATGCCTTAGTTTTCTCTAGAAATAATAATTATATGTATCTAAGGAATGTACCCTTGTATATAGATCCAAATAGCTAGAATGATATATTTTATTTATTTAGGTGCTGGTTGGTTGTAGGGCTTGAACTCTGGGCCTGGGAGCTGTCCCTCAGCATTTCAGCTCAAGGCAAGCACTCTACCACTTCAGCTACAGTGCCACTTCTGGTTTCCTGATGGTTTAATGGAGATAAGAGTCTCATGGCCTTTCCTGCCTGGGCTGGCTTTGAACTGTGATCCTCAGATCTCAGCCTCCTGGGTAGATAGAATTACAGGCATGAGCCACCAGCGCCCGGCTTTGGAATGAAAGTTAAGTAAGTTTTAGTAGTATTACTGCTATAACATGAAGAGACTTTCAGGCCTTTCACTACAAAAGTAATTCATTAGATGATCAGTGATACCTTCTGACTCACTGGATGAGGACTAGGAATTGGTCTTGGAGAAAAATCTTCATCTTCAACACCAGAGTCATGATCATTTATTGATATTTTCCCAGGAGGTAATTTTTGGGAAGACCTAAAGAATAGAAGAAGAAAAAAGGAAAATGTTCAAGCAGAACATAGTCACACACACCTATAGTCCCCCAGCACTCAAGAGACAGAGGCGGCAAAATTGTGAGTTCAAAGCTACCCTGGAATACATGACAAGGCTCTATTTCCAAAAACAAAACAGAGCAAAAAAAAACCTAAACCTTCAACAATTTCATTTTCTTTCTTCCTTTCTGAAACTGAATAACGTTCTTTAATCAGTAGTATTTTGAACATCTATTTTCGTACCTACAGGCACAGATTATTTTTTAGGTCAACATAAGTTTATCAACTCATGCTTACCTAATATCTTTTGCCTAATTGTGATGAGCTTAATCTTTAATGTGAGAATAAATCAACAGTCACTGAGACCCTTCTGGCTGACCACACTGAGGAATATAGAAAGATGACGTGGTACTTACTATAAAAAGCTTATAATGTGGGGATAGACATGTATACTTACTATATTAAATATACTGTATTAAACATTGACTGTGCCACTAAAGAATTACATTTTCCTACATACTTATATGTGTAGTGGGAAAATACTCTGAGACACAGAGGCATCACCTCCAATTTAGTCACTGTATCATAAATGGTAGGCTGCAGCTAAAAATTTTTGACAGGGCTGGAGATGTAACTCAACAGAACAGCACTTGCATAACAAATGCAAGACCCAGGATCAATCCCTAGCATTGCATAAAAGAAAAATGTTGAGTGTTATATAAATGTCAAAAGCTGAAATTAGGAAATGGAGTTGTGGTTCAAATGGTAAAGCCCTAGCCTTGAGCAAAAAAGCTCAGGGACAGTAAACATAGTCCTGGGGTTCAAGCCCCTCCATACCCCCCCATGCCTCTCTATACCACACACACACACACACACACACACACACACACACACACACACAACATAGTCCTGGGGTTCAAGCCCCTCCATACCCCCCCATGCCCCTCTATACCACACACACACACACACACACACACAAACACACACACACACACACACACACACACACACACCTGAAATTAGAGTTTAAGATTTCTAAAATGTGATGTTTCTGTGCATCCTAAGTTAGATGAAGTGTCAATAAGATGCTGTAAGGAAAAGATAAACCAAAAGTAAACTAAGAAAACAGAATTAATGAGGCTCTAAGAAAGCATCTTGTTTCATACAAGTTGAATTCCTCCTAGAAGTTGTCCTTCGAGAACAACAAGAAATCTCAAAGCAGATTTAAATCTCTGACAGCAGAGATTTGTAGACCAAATCTTGGTTTCTCTAGAGACACAAAAATCTTCCTGTGTAGGGTAGTGCAATGAGGCAATGAGAAGGTGTGTGTGGTATATTGAAGCAGATGGATCGGGTCTGCATCAGTTCTACAAAGCTCTCCTACAAGGTACGAGAAGGACAGGGAAAATATAGAGTAGTATCTCATGTGCTTCAGTGCATCATGGCCATGACACAGAAAGCCAATGATCTGAATAGGGTTATAACAGTAATCTGCACAAACCTCTGAAAGACAGAGATGCAAACGTGTCAGCAGATGGATGAGAATCCTATCATTCTTCTCATCAGTCCTGGTAATACTGTTAGTCCCCTCCACATTACACATAACCCTAGCAGAAAAGGGGTTAAAAAAACCTTTGAATTGACTGAAATTTATTTCTATAACCCAGTAGAATGAACATGGGTTCTAAATACTATAGGGCTAGAACACAGTACCCAGACATTAGTCAAACACTACATGAAATGTCTCCATGGAAATATTTTTTATGAGATTAATGTTTAAATCAGGAAACTCTGAGTAAAGCTGTATTCTTTATAATAAGGATAGGTGTCATTCAATCAATTGAACATCTTAAAAGAAAACCAATAACTTCTCTGAAGGGACAGGGAATTTTGCAAGCAGATGGCCTTTATTCTCAAAATATAACTTTTCCTTGAGTCTTCAGCCTGCTAGCCTACCTTGCAGATTTTGGACTTGCCAAATCTCCCAAATTTACAGGAGCCAATTCCTTAAAATAAATATATGACTCTACCTACTTCTGTTTCTCTGGCGAAGCTTTAGTAATATGAATGAGTACCTTCTTTACCACAAAGGTAGCCTATAATGACTATAATGACCTAAAAGTCACAAGACCTTATTTAAGATTCTCCAAATGTATGTCATTTAAAAGTTTCTAAACAAACTTGTTCTTTTTTAGGTAAAGGAGTTATTTTTATGGTGGTTTATCTGATTAAAACTACAAAAAAGGAAAGAACAAAGAAAAGATACTAAATAAAAAATAAAAAGGTATTTCTTTTCTTTTTTTCTTTTTCTTTTTTTTTGGTGCTAGAACTCAGGGCCTAGAAACTATTGTTGAGTTTTTGTGCTCAGGGTTAGTACTCTACCACTTGAGCCACAGCTCCATTGTGATTAATGGGGGATAAGAGTCTCCTAGACTACCCACCTGGGGTGGCTTTGAACCTTAGCCTCTGTAGTAGTATTATGGGTGATAAGCCACCAGTGCCTGAAAAGAGAGGTACTTCTTTTTCTTTTTTTGGTCTGGTCGTGGGGCATAAACTCTGGGCCTGGGTACTGTCCCTCAGCTCTTCAGCTCAAGGCTAGCGCTCTACCACTTGAACCATAGTGCCATCCGGTTTTTTTCTTTTTGCTTATGTGGTGCTGAAGAATCAAACCCAGGGCCTCATGCATGCGAGGCAAGCGCTCTACCACTGAGCCACCTTCCCAGCCCCAGAGAGGTACTTCTTAAGCCAGGTAATTTCTTTTTCTTTTTTGTCCGTCATGGGGCTTGAACTCTGGGCCTGAGCACTGTCCTTCAGCTCTTAAGCTCAAGCTAGCATTCTACCACTTGAGCTACAGAGCCACTTCTGGTTTTCTAGTGGAGATAAGTTTCACGGACTTTCCTGCCTGGGCTGGCTTTGAACCGAGATCCTCAGATCTCAGCCTCCTGAGAGCTAGGATTACAGGCGTGAGCCACTGGCACCCGGCTCCAGGTAATTTCTTGACTAATACCTTTTGGCTTTCTTGTACAATAAATCAACTCACATGAAGACAATATCAGAGTTGTCATTTCATCAAAACTGCCACCAACAACACGGTGGATTAAAAAATATTCATTTAAAGCAAAGGCACTTAGGGTCATAGATTTATTTATTTTTTTACCGTTTTTTTAAAATGTCTATTTTATTGTAAAGGTGATGTACAGAAGGGTTATAGTTATGTAAGTAAGGTAATGAGTACATTTCTTTTTGAAGTGTTACCCCCAGGGTCATAGATTTATAAACAGTTTTAGCAGAAATAGAGAGCTATTTCATTACCAATGAGTAGTACATTTAAAAGAAAAAAAAGTACACATTATAATAAAGAATAATTTTTTTTACCTTTTAATGGAAATATCCTTGGAAATCTTGCTGAAAAACTCTGTTTCTACATCTTGGCTTTCAGCACTCAGTTCGAAATGGATTGGATTTCTGTCAGAAGGCTCAACATTCTGAAATGAAGTTAAGTCATACTTTGAGATCTCATGTAAATTAAAACACCAAGAAATTATAGTTAGACAAAAAGTAGCTCTGAAGCATGGAGGAGGGCACTTCTGATTTCTGTAACTGTAACCTCTTTTAGAAAATGTCCACTTCCCTGAATTGTAAGTAAAAACTTAATCACCTGAATTATATAGCTTAATAACTAAGGATTCAATAAATTTAACAAGTATAAAGATACCATCTAAAGAACGAAATGATAAATGATGTCTCAAAAATAGAAATAATCAAGTGTCACTTAAGATATTTAAAATTAAAGTTTTATTCCTGAACAAATATAACCAATAAAGGAACTCAAGAAAAATGTTAAGATCTGGGTGGATGGAGCTGTGAAGATAGCTCAGTGGTAGAGCGCTTGCCTTGCATGCATGAGGTCCTGGGTTCGATTCCTCAGCACCACATAAGCAAAAAGAAAAAAGCTGGAAGTGGCGCTGTGGCTCAAGTGCTAGAGTGCTAGCCTTGAGCTGAAAAGCTGAGGGACAGTGCCCAGGCCCAGAGTTCAGGTCCCACAACCGGACCCTCCCGCCCCCCGCAAAAAAAAAAGATCTGAGTGGAAACACAAGTTTTTTTAGAAGCAGTTAGTGTTTTTATAATAAGAGGTGCATTTGTCTTATTGGTATAACATCTAAGATATAATTTTATTAAATAATAATAATCTTTAAAAATAATAATCTTAAAAAATAGTATTTAACCAGGCACTGGTGGCTCCTGCCTATAATTCTAGCTACTCGGGAGGCTGAGATCTAAGGATTGCAGTTTGAAGCCAACCAGAACAGAAAAGGCCCTAAGACTTTGATCTTTAATTAACCACCAGAAAACTGGAAATGGTGCTGTGGCTCACAGTGGTAGAGCACCAATTCTGAGCAAAAGAGCTCAGAGCTCAGGGACATACCCAGGCCCAGGAGTTCAAGCCCTATGACTGACCAAAAAAAAAAAAAAAAAAAAAGTGATCTTTAAGATTTGGGTACCAGGGGCTCACGTCTGTAATTTTAGCTGCTTAGGAGGCTGAGATCTGATAATCGTGGTTCCAAACAAGTCCATGACACTCTTATCTTCTTTTTTTTTTTTGTCAGTTATGGGGCCTGCACTCTGGGCCTGGGCGCTGTCCCTCAGCTCTTCAGCTCAAGGCTAGCACTCTACCACTTGAGCCACAGTGCCACTTCCATTTTTTTTTTTGTTTGTTTATGTGGTGCTAAGGAATTGAACCCAAGGCCTCATGCATGCAAAGCAAGCACTCTACCACTGAGCCATCTTCCCAGCCCCACTCTTATCTTCACTTAACCACTGAAAAGCTAAAAGCAGAGTTGTGGCTCAAGTGGTAGAGCACCAACCTTGAGCAAAAAAAGTCAGAGACAGTGCCCAGGCCCTGAGTCCAAGCCCTGGACTGGCACAAAAAAGTAATCTTTAAGCTAGAAGTCGTAGCATGAATACTAGTACTGCTCTAGGCTGAGGCAGAAGTACAAGGTAGTAAGACTGCCCCTTGTCAAAAAAAAAAAAAGTTGGGGGCTGGGAAGGTGGCTCAGTGGTAGAGCGCTTGCCTTGCATGCCAGAGGCCCTGGGTTCGATTCCTCAGCACCACATAAGCAAAAAGAAAAAGCCGGAAGTGGCGCGTGGCTCAAGTGGTAAAGCGCTAGCCTTGAGCTGAAGAGCTGAGGGACAGCGCCCAGGCCCAGAGATCAGGCTCCACAACCGGACCCCCCCCGCAAAAAAAAAAAAAAGAAAAAAAAAGTTATCTTTAAATTTAGATATGTCTAGTTTCAAAGATGTACTTTTTCTGTGGTCATTATAGACGCAATTTTATATATTTTATTAGATAAAGCAACAACTTATTTAGATTCTTTGAATTGTACTGTATAAATACTGACTTTGAAGTGTGAAAAACTTTATATACTGTTCAAAAAGATAATATAGTTATGAGAAAGAAAACACCAAAGCATGAGATCCTCAGGAGCAGAAATTGATACAACTATAAACTATATATAATTTTCAAGATTTCAGAATAACATGGATAAGTTATTCTGTGATAACCTTTAGTCTATGGCCTAAGATTTACTAAAGAAAAACTAGCCATAAGTAAATAAATCTACTATTCAATAAATAAGTAAAGCTTAACAATTTAAATTAATATTTTAAAGGATAAAGGACAATGAATTTCAACAGTCCAAATGTAACCCATAATATATTGGAGACGTAGGTCACTTACATTGAAAACACGTAACGTTTCCTTGCTGGATAGTAAGTGAAATTGAAGGTCAGAGGTCCTTCCATCGCATGGGAGGCATTCATAAAACTCAGGTTCCTTATGTGTCAACGAATAAAGAACTATGACGAAATGTCCAGATTCTGAAAAAACCCTGCATAAAAAATATTGTTCAAATGTTAGAACTTTAAAACTTAATGAAGATAATAGGATTATACTGAAATAACTCCTATGTAAGTCTCCAAATAGATCAAGTAAACAGTATAATTTTTGGAAGAAAACTGGAAAGCAAGTCTATGTTTTCTTTTTAATTTATTTTTTATTTACTTATTTCTTTGTCAGTCATGGGGCCTGAACTCTGTGTCTGGGCCCTGCCCCTCAGCTCTTCAGCTCAAGGCTAGCGCTCTACCACTTGAGCCACAGCACCACTTCCAGCTTTTTCTGCTTACGTGGTGCTGAGGAATTGAACCCAGGGCCTCATGCATACAAGGCAAGCACTCTACCACTGGGCCACCTTCCCAGCCCCCTTTTTAATTTAAAAAATGCATTTCATTATGTAAAATGTATAGGAATGTATAAAATGGAAAGTGAAAAAGACACTATTCACTCTCCTATTTAGTGGAAGTACTTCCAGAATTCAGGCATGGTAGCACACACCTGTAGTCAATGCCTACATGGGAGGCTGAGGCAGAAGATCATGTAAGCTAATAAGTTGAAGACCCAATTGAACAACATACCAAGACCACCCCATCTTAAAACATTTCCTTGAGTATCAACACAAAAATTAAAAAAAAAATTGTCTCATGCTTCAGACTGAACACAGAATGAGAGATAGAGTGCTTCAAAATTCATTTTACTGAACATTTACTGTCAATAGTAACTTACAACAAAATCAATATTAATGATAAAACTATACTAAATCATAGCAAAGAATCAATAACGTTTACCTTATCTTGGTTTTATCAATAAGTAACACTTAACTTTTTTTTTTTTATCAGTTGTGGGGCTTGAACTCAGGACCTGGGCACTGTCCCTAAGCTCTTTCATTCACATCTAGTATCCTACCATAGATTCACTACTGATTTTTTGGTAGTTAATTGGATGTAAGAGTCTCACAGAGTTTCCTACCCTGGCTGGCTGTGATTCTTAGATCTCAACCTCCTGAGTAGCTAGGATTACAGGTGTGAGCCACTGGCCCCCTGGAACATTTAATCATTTTATCTGTTTTGAGATAGGATCTTGTAACCTAATCAAGGCTGGGCTAGAACCATGTATGTAGCCAAAACTATCCTTAAAGTTTCAATCCTCTGTCTCCCAAATGCTGGGATTATAGGCATGTACCACTGTCCTGAAAAAACTATTTTGCAAGAGATGAAATAAAATGTAAAAAAATCTAACTACGAAACCAGCTATAGCACCAGGCATGGTTGCACATACCTATAATTCTAGCACTCAGGAACTGAGGCAGGAGGATCTTGAGTTGAGGCCAACCTCCAGGACAGCCTGAATTCTACATTAAGACTCTACCTCAAAAGAAAAAACAAACAAGCTGGCCTTAGTAGCTTATGTCTGTAACCCTAGAAATGAAGGAGGTTGAGATCTAAGGATCATGGTTGGAAGCCAACCTGGGCAGAAAAGTCTAAGAGACTTTATCTCCAATTAACCAGCAAAATGCTGAACTAGAGAAATGACTCAAATTGTGCAGCACCAGCCATGAGCAGAAAAAAACTGAACAAGAAGGCACTGAGTTCAAGCTCCAGTACCAATATTTAAAAAAGTATTTGAAGAAAATGTAAAAAAAATACAAAAGATACTTTACTCAGTAATACTTCTAAAATAGGAAAAATCTTTTCTAAGTAAGACAGAAAAAATAATTTAGGGCCTAGGGATGTAACTCAGTGGTAAAGTGCTTGCCTCACATGTACAAGCCTTTTTATGTGAGCTCCCAGCAGGGAAAATAAGTAATAAATAAATATTATATAAATTTTCTTTCTTTTTTTTTTTTTTGTAGGTCGTGGGGCTTGAACTCTGGGCCTGGGTGCTGTCCCTCAGCTCTTCAGCTCAAGGTGAGCGCTCTACCACTTGAGCTACAGCGCCACTTCCGCTTTTCTGGTGGTTTATTGGAGATAGGAGTCTCAGTCTCTCCTGCCCGGGCTGGCTTTGAACCGCGATCCTCAGATCTCAGCCTCCTGAGTAGCTAGGATTACAGGCGTGAGCCACCAGCGCCAGGCTGATATTATATAAATTTTAAGTGAAACCAATATAAGATAAATGGGTAAAGACAAAAATAAAATATGTAATAAAATAATATTACTTGCCTTTCTTGAATAGAAGAATTGAATACATATCTCAAACAGCAAGCCCATACCTGAGGACTATAGATGTGTATAATTCCAGACAGCCAACTAAAAGAAAAAGTGGAAATTAAAATCTATGGTAAAGTTGGATATGGTGACATACACCTGTAATCTAAGCACTAGGAGCTCAGGCAGGAAGAGTTTGAGATCTTTCCTCAAAATAATGAACACAAAACAAAACAATATAGTCATTTAAAGGTGAACATTTTAGATTAGGTATTTCTCATTATGTATTGGAAGATCTTTGATATTTGCCAGCAATATATTGAAAAGTCCTCTCAAATAAGGAATCTATCAGCATTAGAAGGATAACCTATAGACATGTAATATAGTATCAATATAAATAAATCGTATCTACATACAGAAAAAACAAGCATGTGTTTCTTTCTCTCTATCCTCTTCCACCTGAGATGTAAAAGAGAAAATGGTCCAGGGGTGAGAGTAGAATGCCAGAATGAATTAGCTTGGACTGTAAAGATTGGGAACTAGAGGAGCCTGAGTTGTAGATATGATTCAATGCTGTAATATACAGAGATGGCCTGAAATACAGGAGGGTCTTAATGTTTACTTCGTAATCAGTAAGCCATGGATAATACCAGAACCACAGCACAAGACTACTAACAGATTTCACAATGTAGCAAACCCATATCCATTTTCATTAGCTTTGTAATGCCATTTCCTAACATGGATTCCCTTTCCTGTCAATCCAAACAATTCAAGGTCCAGCTCAAGTTTATTGTCTATAAGAAAATGTCCATTATTGCTCTATTACAAATACTAACAGTGTTCATTTTCTACAGTGCTCACTTCACAGTAACTTGATCATTTATTTTTCTATGTGAATATTTTATCATTTCACTTTTGATTTAAAATTCCTTGAGAAGGAGCTTCAAGCAAAACATAATACCAAGCAATAATGTTAAGCACATGGAAAACACTAAATAAATACTGAATAAATATAAATTCCTGAATAATATGTCTAAATGCCATTAGCCACTAGCTAAAAAGAAAGCTAATGGAAATTTCTGCAAGATTGCCTGCAGTACATTTTAAGTAGCATTATTTTGACTACTGGGTTCTTCAGTGTAACTACTTATAAGACAAGAGGTAATGTCAGAATAATACAGGTTCTAAGACTTTAACTTCAACGATAAGGATTCAGTTTTGTCTGTTTTATATATAGGAGTTCATCCTAAATCTGGGTCAAAATCTTATTTTAGCTGATTCAAAATCCCTATTAAAATAAGAAAGCTGCCTCATGCCTATAATCCTACATTTGGCTAAAAAGGCTTTCATGAATAGTATAGTACTTACATTCCCACTAATGGTAGAGAACAAACCTTGGGATCTGAATCCAGTAAAAGTAACAATTTTCGGGTTTCATCCATGGTAAGATACCTAAACAGAAGATATTTATGTAAAAATAATTTTAGCTATGTATTTTTGACCTTGAAGAGGTAATCTCAGAAATGGAGTATAATTTAGGTAGGGGATATGATTCAAAAGAGTAGTCTCAGATACATGTAAACACAAAGAAGAGTTCAACGCACTTAACTCTTAACAGAGGACTCTAGTAAGAAAGGATTAAAAAGACAATATCTTAAAATTGTACCTACCTATTAATAGGTTTTGGGTTTGTTTTTTTGTTTTTGTCAGTCATGGGGCTCAAACTTAGGGCTTGGACACTGTCACTGAGCTCTTTCGCTCAAGGCTAGCATTCTACCACTTTGAGCCAGAACACTACTTCCTATACCTATCTATTAAAATGGTCATTAAAGGGGCTGGGAAGGTAGCTCAGCGGTAGAGTGCATGTCTTGCAAGCATGAGGCCCTGGGTTCGATTCCTCAGCACCACATAAACAGAAAAAGCCGGAAGTGGCACTGTGGCTCCAGTGGTAGAGCACTAGCCTTGAGCTGAAGAGCTGAGGGACAGCGCCCAGGCCCAGAGTTCAGGCCCCATGACCGGCAAAAAAATAAATAAATAAATAAAATGGTCATTAAAGATACACCTTTAAAAACGTTTTATTCCTTAATTTTACTTACAACTTACTTTAACCTGAAGTGTAAACATCAAAGTAGGCAGTATCAGAACTAATTAGGTTACACGGGGAAAACTGAATTTTTAGCATGTAGGTAATTTGCCAAGACTTTACACTGAAAGTGCCTCAGTTAGGAAAGGTATTAACCAAGTATTTATGTGCCATATTCCTCCAACTTCTCCCAAAGGGTATGATAAGAAAACCCAAAACTTATTTTCCCAAAAGGACAATATACTATTATACTTTGTTATAATAATTGACAGTAGGGGGGCTGGGAAGGTGGCTCAGTGGTAGAGCGCTTGCCTTGCATGCTCGAGGTCCTGGGTTCGATTCCTAAGCACCACATAAGCAAAAAGAAAAAAGCCGGAAGTGGCACTGTGGCTCAAGTGGTAGAGCGCTAGCCTTGAGCTGAAGAGCTGAGGGACAGCACCCAGGCCCAGAGTTCAGGCCCCACGACCGGACCAAAAAAAAAAAAGAATTCTGTTCCAAGCTCCAAAACATACTTCCAAATAAGTTGTTCTAATAGCACTTCCAATTCCTTATGGTAGTATTGGAATTTGAACTCAGGACCTCATGTTTGTTTGGTAGGTACTTTGCCTCCAGTCCTTCTTAGTACTGGCTATTTTTGAGATAGACTCTGACTTGGTGCCCAGGCATAAGCCTGGGTTATGATCTGAAATCTATTTTAGGCTTCCTGTATAGCTGTGATGACAAACACACATCACCATGCCCAATTTCCTCCACTGAGATGAAATCTTGTGAACTTTTCTGCTTGGGTTGGCCCAGAACCAAGATCCTCTCAATCTCAGCCTCACACGTATTTAGGATGACAAGTACATGCTACTATGCCCAGCTATTGGTTGAGAAAAGGTGTCATGTGTATGCCTATATACTGGCCTCAAACTATAATTCTCCTGATCTCAGTCTCCTAAGCAGTTAGGATTACAGCCACCAGCATCCAGCTGGTACTTCAAATTCTTATGTTATCCCTTATAAATATTAACCACATAAGAAAAAAAGGATATAAATTTTGAATTCAGCCTCAGAGAATCTCACAATTCTTTTTTTTTTTTTTTGGTTGGTTGTGGGGCTTGAACTCCCGGCCTGGGCACTGTCCCTCAGCTCTTCAGCTCAAGGCTAGTACTCTACCACTTGAGCCATAGGGCCACTTCTGGTTTTCTGAGTGGTTTATTGGAGTTAGAGTCTCACCAAGTTTCTTGCCCCAACTAGCTTTGAACTTTGATCCTCACATCTCAGCCTCCTGCGCAGCTAGAATTACAGGCATGAGTCAATGCCCAGCTACTCTTCCTCTTTTGAGTTCTTTCTTGTTACAGCAATTTGCCAAGCATTTACTCATGTCCATGGTATCATTTAAAGTTTTAGTGCCTCTATTCTACTGTAGGCTAACACATCCTCTTTAACACTAATCTCACTACTGAACCAGCCTAACTTCAGAAAGCCTGCTCTACCAGATTAACTGTTTCTGATTGATTTGATAGTATTTTCCTCTTTTCAGAAACCTTAATTAGCCCAGCAAGGTGGTTCACACCTTAGTCTCTCTACACAGGAGACAAAGACACAAAGACATTAAGATTATAATGAGGTAGCCCTGGGCTATAAAGGGAAGCACTGTCTCTAACATAAGCAAACCCCAGGGGACTAGCCACCTGAGGCAGAATACTTGCTGGCCTCCTAACTCCGTGTTTCATCCCCGTACTGAAAGAAAATTTTAAAGGCTACATGGCCCCTATAACATAGTTCAAATTCCTTAGACTAATACTCAAGGTTCTCTATAGTCTGGCCAAACTAATATTCCAGCTTGAGCTAACACAATTCCACACCCTTATAGTTACCCTCAGTACAGCTTGAACTTTCCTGTCTTGGTCACACGGCTTCTTTTTCTGGAATGCTATGCATACTAGGATCTCTACCCTCAGAAACTAACATATTGGATTTCAGATCCACAATAATTCAATAAAAAAATTACTGAGTACCTCTCAAATATGAACTTATTAAAATAATTTTTACTATATATGATTCTTCTGTTGATTTAATAAAGTTATCAATGAGCGCCTGTAATCCTAGCTACTCAGGAGGCTGAGATCTGAGGTTCGCGGTTCAAAGCCAGCCCGGGCAGGAGAGACTGTGAGACTCCTATCTCCAATAAACCACCAGAAAAGCGGAAGTGGCGCTGTAGCTCAAGTGGTAGAGCGCTCACCTTGAGCTGAAGAGCTGGGGGACAGCGCCCAGGCCCAGAGTTCAAGCCCCACGACCGACAAAAAATAAATAAATAAAAAATAAAGTTATCAATGAGTTTTCACCTTAAAAGCTGAACTGAAGTCATCTGCATTGTGAACTGCTACTTCTCTTGAACAAAGTCCTTGAGTACGAACTTTGCAGTTGACCAAAAAGTCCCCAGGAAGAGAAGCAGTAGGAGTTCTTTCTAAGCATTCAGGTACTTCTCGCCCAGGATCAAAGCGATCTACTGCCAATGTCACACCTTCTTCATCTAAAGAACAAGAATAATAACTATTACTTAGCATGCTAATTAAAAACATAAATTAACAAAGCAAGACAAAATTTTAGCAAAACCCTTTGTTCATTCCAACAGTGTACTATAAAATCGTACTTTGAAAAGTGGTTTGGAGCTGGGGATATAGCTCAATTGGCAGGGGGTTTGCCTAGCAAGAACAAGACTCTGGGTTCAATACTCAGAACCAAAACCTAACCAAAACAAAACCAAACCAAAGTTTGCTTCTATATTCTTTTACCTGACTATATTGTGAAGTTTGTGAAGGGTAGTTTTACTTATTTTTGTATCTTTGGTACATAGTAAAGAAAATTAGCACAAAGCACATACAATAGCTGGCTTAATCAACAAAAATGCATTGTATTATAGTCACAGAAGTAATTCTTTAAAGTACACTACCTTCATCCACTATGAAAGAACCAATTAAAAAGCACGGCGTATTTTTTTTATTCTGCTTAGCATGACGATAAGCAAGTCGAATGATCTTTTCAGTCACCATAAGTTTTGGATTTCTGAAAAATAACATTAGTCTTTTATGAATGTTGTGAATTGGATTTTCTAAAAACTGTTCATGTTATGAAATGTCACCTAGAATATAGCACATAACTTTTATAGTGTTCACAAAGATCATTGTCAGGAAATCCCAAGGTCAAAGGCAAGGAGTAAAGAAGGCCACTTGGAAACTAGAATGGCAATAGCTCATCCAAAGCAATAATTATCCTCCTGGCACTTGCCTAGCTTTAGGAACCAGAGCATGAATTGACAAACTATGCAGACCATTTGCTTTCGTAAAAAACGTTTGATTGTAATAATCAGATCCATATGTTCACACATTATTTAAGAACTTCAGATAACATCATTAGTGCATAAAAAATATAAACAAACTTGATTAAAATGTTTAAAGATAGGGCTGGGATGTAGCTCAGTGGCAAAGCGCTTGCCTAGCAAGTACAACGTCCTGGGTTCGATCCCCAGTACCAAAAAAGAAAAGACAAAAAAAATACGGTTAAAATGTTTAAAGAACTATAATCAAAATATGTGCAAGAAATAAGAAACTAAAAAAAAAAAAAAGAAGAATAGCCAGGTATGAGTGGCTCACGCTTGTAATCCTAGTTACTCAGGAGGCTGAGATCTGAGAATCGCAGTTCAAAGCCACCCCAGGCAGGAAAGTCCATGAGACTCTTGTTTCCAATTAACCACCAGAAAACTGGAAGTGGAGCTGTGGCTCAAAGTGGTAAAGTACTAGTTCTGAGTAAAAGAGCTTAGGGAAAGAACGCAGGGCTGGGAAGTTGGCTCAGTGGTAGAGCGCTTGACTTGCATGCATGAGACCCTGGGTTCGATTCCTCAGCACCACATAAGAAAAAAGAAAAAAAGCTGGAAGTGGTACTGTGGCTCAAGTGGTAGAGCGCTAGCCTTGAGCTGAAGAGCTGAGGGACAGCGCCCAGGCCCAGAGTTCAGGCCCTATGACCAGACCCCTCCCACCTAAAAAAAAAAACAAAAAAACCCAGGCCCCTGAGTTCAAACCTCACCAGTAACGCCATTGCCATTATCATCTCCATCACCATAAACACCACCACCACCACCAAGAACAACAACAACAATGAAACCACAAAAAGGCATAAATTTGAAAAGAAGCATTTGGCACTTACAGAGATTTTAAAAAATACACAATCAATTAAAAATTCAAAATATTATATAATCAATTGGAGACACGTACATGGGTATTATTTTATAAACTAAGCATACTTATGATGAATAATCTTTCACACAACACATACACATACACACATACATATACATATATATACATATATATATATATATGTATATATATAGAGTATGTACTTCTTTTCTTTTTGGTCGTGGGGCTTGAACTCTGGGCCTGAGTGCTGTCCCTGAGCTCTTCAGCTCAAGGCTAGCACTCTACCACTTGAGCCACAGCACCACTTCTGGTTTTCTGGTGGTTAATTGGAGATAAGAGTCTCACGGACTTTTCTGTCTGGGCTGACTTTGAACCATGATCCTCAGATCTCAGCCTCCTGAGTATCTAGGAGTATAGGCTTGAGCCACCAGCACCTGGCTTGAGTATGTACTTCTATATTTAACAAACCCAAACCAGGGATATGGTTTAGGTGCAGTATCTAGAATTCTCAAATCAGGACTTGCCTATGCAAGTCGTGGGGAAGAAAGCAGGGATTCCATCCCCAGCACCATACCCCCCAAAAATAATACTATGAAATGGGTATTATTACTGATCCTTGGACCCTCTTTTAGGTCACATAAATAAGAAGTTGTAAAATCTGAACTTAACACTCTAGATTGTCTAACTCCATTTAAACTACCTGAAACCAATGTAGCAAAAATCTATGTGACTTCTCTCATAGTTTAATCTATGAGCCATTTCCAGGCTGCAGGTGTGGCTCAAGTGGTGAAGCACTAGCCCAGCAAACATAAGGCACTCAGTTCAAACCCAAGAACTGACCAAACAAAACCATGCATCATCTCATTGTTAACTGTCCCTAGGCCTTCCCTACTATTTCCATCCTTCATAGAATACTTTCAGCAAGTCTTCATACAGAAAATCTCAATGGATCTATTTTGTATTACTTTAAGTCTTAAATGTCTCTCTTCTGTGTCTAAGACCCAGATATCTTATATTCCTTCTAATTTGATCTACTCAAAAATGAGTAGAGCTCAGTGGCTCATGCCTGTAATCCTAGCTACTCAAGGAGCCTGAGATATAAGGACCCAGGTTCAGAGCCAGCCTGAGCAGAAAAAGTTCCCATGAAACTCTTTTTTTTTTGGGGGGGGGGGTCCGGTTGTGGGGCCTGAACTCTGGGCGCTGTCCCTCAGCTCTTCAGCTCAAGGCTAGCACTCTACCACTTGAGCCACAGCACCACTTCCGGCTTTTTTCTTTTTGCTTATGTGGTGCTGAGGAATCGAACCCAGGGCCTTGAGCATGCAAGGCAAGCGCTCTACCACTGAGCCACCTTCCCAGCCCCTCCCATGAAACTCTTATCTCCAATTTACCACTCAAAAACCATAAGTAGAAAGTGGCACTGTGGCTCAAGTGATAGAGCACTCGCCTTGAGCTGAAGAGTTCAGGAACTGTGCCTAGGCCCAGAGTTCAAGCCCCACGACCAACAAAAGAAAAAAAAAAGAAAAACTGGAAGTAGAGCTGTGGCTCAAAGTGGCAGAGCACTAGCCTTGAGCAAAAGAGCTCAGGGACAGTACCCAGGTCCTAAGTTCAATCTCTGCAACCATTCAAAAAAAAAAAAATCAGTTCAAGCTTCCTAATGTTCTACACGTTTAAGCATGATGAGAACCTTTCAGGTTTTATTTTGAATATGGTAATGCTCAGAACTTTAGATGTTCAGAATTTTCCCATGAAACTGAAATTCTCATTTTGTTTAAGGAAACTTTCATGGAAAAAGTAAACAAATAGGAACACAGGTTGAACACCTTTTATCTGAAATATTTGAGACCAAAAGTGTTTTGATCTTGGGATATCTGCATATTTAGTGAGATATGCTTGTTGATGGGACCCAAATCTAAACATGAAATTTGAACAAATTTATGTTTCGTACATATAGCTTGAAGATAATCCTATACACCTGTGTGTTGTATATCTTCATTTTTCATCTTCTTTCGCACTGGCATCTGTGCCACAATGTTGCCATCAAACACATTTTAATTTTTGGAGATATCAGATTTCAGATTTGGAAATTAGGGATCCTCAACCTGTAATTGGTCATGGTACTCAATTTTGCCTTAAACATCCTTTTATGACTTAGGTCTATACTAGCTTGGTTTGAAAAAAGAAAAGTTCTTATACCTGTAGTAATTAAGATGCAAACAGACAAAATCTCCAATTGGTGTTGGGTTCCAAAGGGCTAACTTGGATGGAGGAAAGTGGAAAGGTACCATCTTACTTGAAGGAAACCTTTAAAAGAAAATTTAAAATTAAAGCACAAGGAAAAGAAAATTGGCAGAGATTTTGTATTAAATAGTTAATTATCTTTGTCAGGCCAGGTTGTATTCACCCACTTATTTAGGAGGGCAAGGCAAATAGATGGCTTGAGCTCAGGAGTGTTTTTTTGTTTTTGGCAAAAGATTTGAACAAAGATGAACAAATGTTGCTATAGATGTAGAGAAATGAGAGCACTTATACATTGTTGGTGGAACTATAAATGCGTACAGGCATTATAGGAAATAGCATGGAGTTCCTTGAAAAAATTAAAAATAGAAGTATCACAATTCTGAAATATACTGAAATGAAAATATCAGAAAATGCTGTATTCCATATTCACTGCAACACTATTCACAATAGCACAGATATGCAATCAATCTATGTGTCATGCTCAGAGAAATAAAATACAGTATATATGTACATATATATAATATAGCTCTAAAGAGCTATATTATATATATATATTTATTATATATAAATATATATATTTATTATTTATTATATATATATTTGTGCCAACACGGAGGACATATGGTACACAATTTTAACTGAAATAAGCCAGACAATGAGCCAAATATCTCACTCTGATGTGGAATTTGAGAAGCTACAAAGAAGTACAAAGACCAATGGTTATCAGAGGCAAGGCAGGGTAGCGGAACAAGGATGATGAAGAGACTGGTCAATGGGTGCAAAATTAGTTAGAATAAGTAATAGTGTTCTGTAGCACAGTAGGGTAGCTAGTCAACAATAGTATAGTACATAGTTCAAAAAGTGAGGAGAGGATTATGAAGTTTCTTGACAAAAAGAAATAGTAAGTGTTTGAGGTACTAGGTATACTAACTAAATACTGGGATTTGATTGTTGCATCATGTACACATTAATCAAAACATCACACTGATTGCAGTAGTTTAAGTCTATAATCCTAACTAATCAATCTATAATAAAATTTTAAAGAGAATATACTGAAGTTATTACACAACTATACTTCCCAAAGGACAGAAGGTGACAATTTTTCAAATAACAGATGGCACAGGTGAGATGAGGCACATCTGTAATTCAGCTTTCATAAGGTGGGGCCAGGAAGATCTCCAGTTCCAAACCAGCTTGAGCTATAGATCAACATCTTGTCTTTAAAAAACAAAAGTTGGAAACGTAGCTCAAGTTGGCAGAGTACTTGCTTAGCAGGCATGAGGCTCTAGGTTCAATTTTCACTACCACCAAAAATAAAATAAAATAAAAAAAATATATATATATATAAATTAAAACTTTTTAAGAAGAGGTGGAGTATAACAGAAGGGACAAAATTAAAGCAACAGAAACATGATAACCTCGTTGGGCCATATTTCCCATTGTCCTCATTAAGAATATCTGGTGCAAAGGAAGACAGATAATAAAGAGAAAATACTGACACCCCATGGGTGCAATTCTAGTTTTTAAGAACAACAAAATCCATATGTCAACATTAATTGTCCTTCCCTAGGGGAAAATGGAACAATACATGATCCAAAGAACCAAATAACACAAGCCAGTCTGCCAGGTCCCCAAAGTAATAACAGACTGAGTAAATCAGGAGGCAGGTAGGAAGCTCCTCCTTCTTATGCCACTTAATAGGAAAGGTTAGGAACATTTGAGGAAACTTGGTATACCTAATTGTGGATTACCACTAATGAATCAGTGCTTAGAAAGAAAGAACCCAGTTACTTTTGCAATTTTCTAAATGTAAATAAACACCTATGTAGATTTTAGTCTCAGGACTTCAGATACTATTACCCTTGATTAAAAAAAAAAAGATCTCCTATGCAATTAAAATAAGTGAAGGAAGAAATGGAACTAATATTTACCAAGTGCTTACTAGTATAAGTAGATCCTTTAGTATAATAATCCTATTTAACCTTTCACAATAATCTGTAAAATAAAGACTTCTATCCCTGTTTTACATGAGGAACTGAAGCTTATTAATTAAGTTGATTAGGGAATCCCACCTTATATATGGAAGAACTGGCATATGTGCAATAATTTTCTTGATTCTGAAGACTATATTCTTTCCTCTCTTCCAAAGTACCTTTGCAAGTTAAAGTGAGTGGCTGTGAAAAAAATTATACAAATATTTCTATGCTGCTGTGATGTCATATGCCAGTCCTAGTCTTTGAGGGTTAGGTGAGAGGATAACTTCAGTCTACAAGTTTGAGTCCAGCTGGGGAAACATAGTGAAAACTAGTATTGAAGGAGAAATAATTCTATACCTGGTTTTCATCTGGGCCTTCCCAAGAGGATATACAGGTTGCATGGTATTTGGTGAATGATTTATGCAACTTAAATCCTCAATGTCCTAGAGAAATAAGAAAATATTATTAATGACAAAAACACCGTTGAAACACGATTTAACTACATATTAATAAAATTACAGGCAAAATTAGATTAGTTATATTTGATGTGACAAGAGGATAATAAAATTAAATGCTTGTGGTGCTGATCATTTTCACATGTTAGAGTCATTCTTCCTAAAAACGCATGTTGATTTCACGCAGTGAAATCTTTCAGTATATATTAATTAAGGAAAGTCCAGATTTTTTTAATGATAGGCTAATGTTTAATGTTCAGTAAATTGGACTTTACCTTAATATGTTTGTTGGAGTACATTCCCCGGAGAGGCTGAATATATACACACAAACACATAATTGCGTGCGTGCACAGACACACATACACCAATGGCACATTAACAAAAGTTAATACAGTTATACAAAAGAAGAGGTATCCAAATTAAGCAAACTGAACAAGTACAAATGTATCTGAATTCACCCCCAAGAAATCTAACACAGTTGTAAATCAAAGTAGAAACACAAGAAATGGGAAAGCACAGATTTTTATCTCACCATCTATCAATTTTAACTTGGTGAGCTCAGCAAGTCATATAACAGTTCACAATCCTTATGATCCTCTTCCCCACATAAATGTTCTTTCCATGACACCACCTTAGCTGAATTCAGCAAGCCCTCAAAGAAGTCACTGAAGCGTTCCCCAGAGCAGCTATACAAATCTGGCCAAGTTATTCTCGAGATCCAGAGTCAAAGACCTCTATGATTCGATTCCTTTTTAGCCTTCCAACCATCTCCCCTACCCACTCATGCCAAAGGGAACTACCTGCAGTCGTCCGAGTCCAGTTAGCACAGGCTGGCCCTTTACTTGGCCCGTCCTGGTAAGTGTCCATCCTCCTTCCCCATCCAACCCTAAGGTCCGTACCTCCTACCCAGGTTCATAGGACAGTGATCCGCCTCGCAGCGTACTTCCAGGGACCTCCAACTTCAAAACACCATGCCAGGCACTGTAGGGCGATTCAGAATGTAAATTCCCAGATTTCCACCGCGAAAAACTTTAAATGACAGGTGCCCGACGGCTAACTCTTCCATACAACTCAATACACATAATACCGAAGGAGTGTGGGGTCCACTTAATGTCTCCCACTAGATCTCCATCTGTCCTCCGCCCCCGGGAGGAATGAAGTCAACCCACTACAGGGCCCCGAACATTTTACCCGCCGACCTTCCTCCGGTCCCATAAACGTCCTACTCACCGTTACCTCGCCCATATGGGGTGTGTTTGTTGGTTCAAAACACAGGTCGGCTCCTAGGAGCAGCTCAGGTGCCCCGGGCCCCGCCTCGGATACGTTGGGGTCGCGGGAACCAAGGCGGCAAACACCGGCTCGAGAAACCGAAGGGCGCGCCGCCCCTCCTGACTGGTTGGAATCCCCGCCAGTCAGACAGCAAGGGCGGAGCTAAAGGCGTCTCGTCAAGTCACCACTACGTGCTACTATGACAGCCAATCAGAGCTCTTCATAAGTTCCGCGCTCTACCAATCCCAAGGTTCTTAGGAGAGGTGAGGAGTTCCTGAATCAGTGTTCCGAGGATTTAAAAAACCTTCATCGCGTCAACGGTTAAGTTCCGGGGTAAGGCGGGCTTTGCGCGCGCAGTACAAAGCCCCGCAGGCTGGATCAGGAGGGGAAGGAGGAAGTGCTGGCTGCACCGGTGCTCCCCGGACACGAGAGCTCGCGTTCTGGAGAAGTTTCCGCAGCAGCTTTCCCACCCTCGCCTGCTCCGCAAGTCAGTGGTGCTTTTCCTCTCCCCTTTCTATTTCTCCCCACAGTTGCCTGTTATACTAAAGTAGGTCCTTTAAAATACAGATAACGTGAGCTGCTCGCCGGGCGCCCGTGGCCCACACCTGTAATCCTGGCTACCCGAGGGGCTGAGGCTTTACGATGTGGTTCGGTGACAGTCTGAGCTGGACAATTCGTGAGACTATTTCCAGTTAAGCGCCAAAAAGCTGGACAGCGCCCAGGCTCTGAGTTCAAGCCCCAGGACCTGTACGAAATAATAAACAAAAAACAAACGGCCCCTGAACCCTTAAAAATGCCTTATAGTTGCTCGCTTCCCTTAAAGCCCTCTGCTTGTAATTCAAGTGGCAGTGTGCCTGCTTACCAAGCCGGAGGTCCTGAGTTCAAACCCCCATACCGCCGGAAGGAAGGAAGGAGGGAAGGGAGAAAGGGGGGAGGGAAGGAAGGAAGGAGGGAGCAGATGTCTCTCAATAAATATAGAAAAATTCTCTTCCACCGGAGGGGGAGAGGGGGGAATGTTGCTGGTGGCTCACACCTGGATCCAAGTTTGAAGCCAGCCCAAGCAGATAAATACACTATTATCTCGCTGGAGGTAGCGTGGCTCATGTGATTTGCGCACCTTTAGTTGAAAAAGCCAAATGAGAGCATGAGGTCCTGAGTGCAAGCCCCAAAGCTGGCACCAAAAATAAACGTAAAATGAAACGATTATTTTTATTTCTGAGTAAGAAGTTAGAGTGTGTCCTAAGGAAAAAGTGTGACTTACATTTATGAACTATATTTACATACCCTGTGTGTGTGCGTGTGTGTGCGTGTATGCACGTGTGCACGCGGGCTGGTTCTGGGGCTTGAATTTAGGGCTTGGGCTCTGTCCCTGAGTTGTTTTTTTTTTTTTTTTTTTGCTCAAGGCTAGCACTCCACCACACTCCTTCCGTCTATTTTGGTAGTTAATTGGCCACAAGAGTCTCATAGACTTTCTTACCCAGGCTGGATTCAAACCATGATTCTCAGATCTTAACCTCTGAGTAGCTACCATTACAGGCTTGAGCCACCAGCAGCCAGCTGGTGCTATATACTTAAATATCTTATACTTACCATGTACTTACACAATATGGTATATGTAATATTGATATTTTGTGTGTATAATATTCATATTGATATCAGTATGATCATTTGTAATTACCTTCATAGCTAATGTCGGTTTTGCTTTTGCCTTGTTTTTATTTTTTACTGAGAGTCTTGCTATACAGCTCTGGCTGACCTTAAGATGGCCTTAAAATAGGAGTATTTGAATATAATCTATGCACAACTTTCACATATACTTTAAATACTTACAATGACAAGTACAATGCAAATGGATACTGTATCCTTTAGGAAGTCATAACAAGGTTGGTTGAATGTGCATATTGCATCCTGAGGTTTCAAAGAACCAACTTATATAACTTATACTCAACAGGCAAATAGGCAAGTAGTTATTATCCTTATTTAACAAAAGATAAAAAGTCAAATATCTCACAAGTTGTGTTGCATGTGAATTCTAAATGCCACTTACTTTGGTAAACACTCTATTTTTGTTCATTTCCTAAGCAATATGAGACTATCTTAGGGTCTGTGCTATGTTGTAGTATGACCTATTTGGAATAGGTGTCCCCTCTTGAAAGAGTGAAAACATACAAAGAAAAAGTCAAACTAGCCAAGAAATATGTACTCTATAGACTATCATTCTCTTTTCTGGAAAATTTCTGAAATCTAGGGAACTCCCCCCCCCCTTTTTTTTTTTGGTCAGTGGTTGAGCCTGAGCTCTGGGCCTGGGTGCTGTCCCTCAGCTCTTCAGCTCAAGGCTAGGGCTCTACCACTCGAGCCATAGCACTACTTCCAGCTTTTTCTGCTTATGTGGTGCTGAGGAATACTTACATCTGTACATCTCAAAACTGTTCAACTGGACATGGTAGTATACACTTAACATCCCAGCTATTTGGGAGGCTGAAGCAGGAGACTAGCTTAAGCTTAGGTACTGAGAGGCAGCTTCAGCAACACAGTAAGGGTCCATATCTCCTTTTTGAAAAAGTTAACTCATCAGTGGAGAATCGGAGGAACTACCAAAGTTGAGAGAAGCTCAAAGAGATATGACAACTAAATCATGGATAGAGTCAAACCATTTAAAAAAGAGAGTAGGTAAAGCTAAAGAAGGCTATACAAAGACTTCAGTTAGTAATACTGGTTTATTAACTGTAAAAATATATGTATTAATATGTTTTTAAAAATAGAGGAATTTGTGCAGGAAGTATTGGCTCTACACTAAGTTCTCAATTTTTGTCTTTATTAGCTGTTTGAGACAGGATCTCACTACATAACCCATGCTGGTCTTGATTTTGCAGTGCTCTAGCTTCAGTCTCCTGAGTGGTGGGATTATAGGCAAGTACCACCATGCCTAATTTTAATTTTCCAGTAAATCTGAAGCTATTCTGGAAGACTAGGAAAATAGCTCAATGGTATTGCTATTCATCTTCTAGCCAGGCACTCGTGGATCACACCTGTCACGAGGCTGAGATTGGAGGATCCAGTTCAAAGCCAGCCAGGGCAGGAAAGCCTGTAAAAATCTTATCTCCAATAAACTATTCAGAAAAGTCACAAGTGGAGCTGTGGCTCAAGGGGTAAACCACCAACCAAAAAAAAAAGAAGCTCAAGGATATCACCCAGGCCCTGTGTTCAAGCCCCAGGACCGACACACACACACACACACACATACACACACACACACTCTTCTAAAAATAGTTTCTTAGTGAGAAGAAAAAGAGGAGTTGAAACACATACTTTTTTGAATAAACTAATAAAAATGCTGGTATCTTCCTATACCAGCATCCTTCAGTTAAGCATTTCATTAACACATGATTCCAATAAAGATATGCCTGTGATTCTATGCATAAACCCTCTGACCAGAATAAAATCAGTTATTGGTTTTATATTCTGGTTTTATACCTGTTATTGGTTTTATATCCTGGTTTTATACCTAAGAGGCAACTGAAAAAGTATGTAGATCCATATATTTCTTCAAATGCAACAAGTGTTTGAGGATCTGCCCTAATTCTGCCATTTACTCCATCTAAAACTGATTTTTCTCATTTCATACTGTACATTATCATAAGGTTAATACATGAGTATTGGAGTTACAGAATATGCCCCAACATTATTACTACTCTAGGTGTACTGACAATTGACATTATTAATAAGGAACATTGAATGCCTTACATTCAAAGAGAATAAGAAAACTGATTTGGTAAGCTTTTAGAAAAAGTATGTTTTGAAATTTACAAATGCTAAAGAACCTATTACACATAATTTTGTTCTAGATAATATTGAAAGGACATAACAAGAATAGGATAAGGAAGGTACAATTTTATAGGGTAGGTAATTATCCAAAGCAAATATGAAGTGACTGTTAGACTGCTGGCCAGGTTAAACAAAGTGAATATATACCATGCTATTCTTTGATCCTTGTATACATATATTTCTACATCATTTCAAGATACTGTAGAATTGCTGTAGTTAATTTGTTTCACAGAAAACTACTTCAAATGTGTCATACTTTTTAATAATGTATGAATTTGAGCTGGTTTGTAATTCAGTGGTTGAGCTCTTTTCTAACATGAGTGAGGCCCTGGAGTCAATCCTTGCATAATAATAAAAACTAAATAAAATGTAAAGCATAGTTTTATTCCATTAATTTGCTGCACAATGTTTAAAAATTTTATCCACAATTTTACATCTCAACTGCTATAGATTGTCCTGCCCCAAGTCTTTTTTTTTTTTTTTTTTTTTTTGCCGGTTGTGGGGCCTGAACTCTGGGCGTGGGCATGGTCCCTCAGCTTTTCAGCTCCAGGCTAGCACTCTACCACTTGAGCCACTGCACCACTTCTGGTTTTCTGAGTGGTTTATTGTAGATAAGTCTCAGGGACTTTCCTGCCCGGGCTGGCTTTGAACTTTGATCCTCAGATCTCAGCCTCCTGAGTAGCTAGGATTACAGGCTTGAGCCACTGGCACCGGGCTCCCAAATTCTTATGTTGACATCTTTACCACCAAAGTGACAGTACGTGGTAGAGCTTTTGGGAGGTGATTAGAATGTGAGAGTGGAGTCTTCATGAATGAGATTAGTGCCCTTATAAAATACACACACACACACACACATACATTAGGTTCTTTGCCCTTTTTCATCATGTGAAGTCACAAGAAGATAGCTGTTTGTGAAATGGGAAGCAGGCCTTCACTAGTTTCCTAGCACCTTGATCTTCAATTTCACCATTTCCACAACTATGAGAAATGTTTCTCTTGTTTAGAAGTTACCCAGTTTATAGCATTCTGTGGTAGTGATTCAAATGGAGTAAGACAATATATACCATTTTTTTTCTTACCCTTTTTCAGTACCTATCCAGGTACTGAACTGTCCAGAACCTGACAGGTTCTTCATGCATACATCAGGTAAATCTTCAGTGTTATAAACCCTGATGGTGTGTACTGACAGACGGCCTGTAAGGATTAAAGATCTATTGTTACACCAGGAACAAGGAAGTTGAAATCAGTTATTTCTCTTTTTACCTACTCTTTTCCTTATTTACTGTACTGTTTCTCCAAACATCCAACGTTTCCTCTTTCAGTTACACTTCTGAGTTATACTACTGCTTTTAAAAAACAAGCACAGCTTTGCTTTAAAGGAATATGTCAACTTATGGAAAACTCTTTTTAGATATTTATAACACACTGGTAACTTCTCTAAAACTATTTGCTGAATTGAGTTCATATGCCATCATCCTGACAAGAAAATGGTAGGTGGGCAGACCTACCTAAACTTGGCAAGTCTTAGGGAGTAATGATGCTATGAGATTAGTTTAAATCAATGTCTCTTCACTGGTCAGCCTGGTTTCTGCAGTATGTGACTTCCAGGAAGGTAAGTCTGTCTTCTGTTGACAGACTTGGCATACCAGATTTTCAAAGATATGTTTCCCTTAACTCATGCTCTCAGAATCATTAATACAGCCTTTCAGCAGTAACCAAGCAAATAGGAATAGCAGAAACCGTAATTTTAGTAACTCCATTAAGCATCAAGTTGTGCAGTGGGTTAAGGGTCCCTTCAGGAAATAGATTACAATATACTAGGTAGTTACAAAGGTCTGAATACAAAACATGCAGCCTGTGTGCTTAAAGAAGTGGGTACTCAAAAGGGGTGGAGAAGGGTCAAGAGGAAAAGGGTAGATAAATGAAGAGGAGAAGGGGAGGAAAATGCAGACAAGAATCCAATATATATCCTATAAAATTAAGAAGAATGAGGGAAGAAGTGTGTAGGAGAGGGATGAGTAAGACAATTGAAAAGGGGTGACATTGATCAAGATATTGTATTTCTAAACTGCTTTGTTAAATGACAAAAAAAAAAGCATAAAAAATGACTAAAGACAACATTTCCCATATGCCCAAACGCTCATAGAAATTATGTAATTGGCAGACCAATGCCCCATGTAGTGGCCTTGTGGAGTTATTGTCCAGTAAATATTGGGGCCAAATTTGATTACATAAGTGTATATTGTTTATGAGGCTTAAGATCAGGCTCAAACTTGAGCAGTTTTAGGTTGTGTCCTGAAGAATTTTAGACTGTGTCCCACCCATGATGAATGACAGAGTGCTGACTCTAGAGCTCCCATTGGGGTCCTCAGAAGTACTCTAGTCAGCTAATATGGAGGGAACAGGCAGTAAGAAGGGATAGTCACCTGCAATTACTGAATTGCTTGGCCTATTCTGGACTGGTGGCCTAGGCCCTGGGAGTAGGGCTGGGAACTTGGCACCAAGATTTTCCTCCCTGTTATAGCACGGTGGCCTTACAGAAAATGGACTCTGAGTCCCCAGCCTACTGTAAGTGGTCACTCACCCGGGAAGAAGTGTGAATTGGATGGGGAGAAGGGGTTCAGTCAGAAGGAGGTCAATTTGGCAGTGTTCTGGGTGGGCTGGGGCTAGGTTCCTGGAGCAGCTCAGATTCTTCAAAGGGAAGAGCAAATCTACCAAGGAGCCAGTGGATTTTATTGCCAGCCAAGGCTAACAAGGCCACCTTCCCCAAGGGGTGGGGAGAAATGGCACTTGTCTGTTTCCCACGGGCATCCTTACATGGGGCTAGAGGCAGGAGGTACTCTGAGTGGGCAGCTGGTCACCAAAAACAGCCTAGAAGCAAGGCAGAGTTTAGGTCTGGGCAGAGAGTGGGAATGCGGACTGATCCTGATCCTAGAGAAAACCAGCAGGAGCCAGGGGAGAGTGCTTTTTTCGTTGTGAAGGGCAGACTGGAGTCCAGGTCTGGGTGGAGGGCATTCTGCTGATGCAGCTGGGGGCTAGAGATACCTGCTGGAGGGCCTGTCAAGCCCCAAATGGAAGAGGACATACTAACAGTACCCTATTACAAATCAAACAAATTAACTTTTTCCTTACAACCTTTTACATCACCCATTGCCACCCACAAGTTCTTTTTTTTTTTTTCGGTCGGTCATGGGGCTTATACTCTGGGCCTGGGCACTGTCCCTCAGGTCTTCAGTTCAAGGCTAGTGCTCTACCACTTGAGCCACAATGCTAATTCCAGCTTTTTGTATATGTGGTGCTGAGGAATCAAACCCAGGGCCTCATGCTTACAAGACAAGCACTCTACCACTGAGCCACCTTCCCAGCCACTCCCCCCCCCAAGTTTTTTGAAAGACATGTTTTCTTTTTTCTGTCAAAGCATTCATAGTAGCTCAAATAGGAGCACTAGTATAGTACTCCCCAACAGAACTTCTTGTGATGATGGACAAGTTGTGTTTGTGCATTACACCAAGTGTAATGTGTAATGTGCGGACACAAGTGACTGTTGGGCCTTTGAAAAGTGGCCACTGTGCTTGAAGGACTAAATTTTAATGACATTAAATGTAATCTTTTTTAATCAGTATCATTTCTTAGCATTTATTAGGCACACAATTAATTACATGTAGCTAGTGGCTACCATATTGGAGGGCACATTTCCTGTTCCCTACCCTAAATAATCCACCTTTATTCCCATTGTTTGCATTCCTCATCTGTCCACATTCCTCTTTCAAGTTAGCTTCAACGTGTGTGTGGCAAGATCCTGCACTGGGCAAAATCGTTAGTTTCTTTGTTATGCCAAAGCCAACTTAACTGTTGTACCCCTCTGCTTTTAATAATATTCTCAATACTCTTTTCTTAAGTTTTTCTCCATCATTTCCAGCTCTTACTTCTTAGGTTCAATCTAACTTTTATTTATTTTTTATTTTTTTGTGTCCTGTCGTGGAGCCTGAACTCTGGGCCTGGGCACTGTCCCTCAGCTCTTCAGCTCAAGGCTAGCGCTCTACCACTTGAGCCACAGCGCCATTTCTGGCTTTTTTCTTTTTGCTTGTGGTGCTGAGGAATCGAACCCAGGGTCTCAGGCATACAAGGCAAGTGCTCTACCACTGAGCCACCTTCCCAGCCCCTCAATCTAACTTTTAAAGGTTTGAGTTCACCCAGTCTCAATATTTAGACTCCTTTTGTTCTCCTTTAAGATTTTCCCTAAAAAAAAAAACCAAAAACTGGGAAATGGAGTTCTAGTTAAGGGCTTCCCATTGCGATTAGAATATCATCCAAATTCCTTTCCATAACCCAAACTTCTGAATGATCTGCCACTTGCCTCCCTCTGGTCTGTTTTTGCCTTCCAGTGTGGGACACTGTCCTAGTCTTTCCCTAGCGTTGCTCTTTCCTACCTTTGTGTCTTGCTTGATGTCCCCTCCTTTTATTTATTTTTTATTGTTATTATAAAGGTGGTGAACAGAGGGGTTTCAGTTTTTTTTTTTTTTTTTTTGTCGGTCGTGGGGCTTGAACTCTGGGCCTGGGCACTGTCCCTCAGCTTTTCAGCTCAAGGCTAGCGCTCTACCACTTGAGCCACAGCGCCACTTCCGGCTTTCTGGTGGTTTTATTGGAGATAAGAGTCTCACGGACTTTCCTGCCGGGGCTGGCTTCAAACCGTGAGCCTCAGATCTCAGCCTCCTGAGTAGCTAGGATTACAGGCGTGAACCACCGGCGCCCCCCGAGAGTACTTTTTGGACAATGTCACTCACCCCTTCTCCCGCGGTCTCCGAGTTTTTCCCGCCCACCTCCATCCACAAGTCGTAAAAGCTCATTTTCCACACAGTGTCAAGAGAGTACCACTGCTGCATCTGTCCACCCTTTGTCCTCCATTTCTGTGTTTAATGTCACCCCTTTTGAGGTCCTGAGTACCTTAACCAAGTGGTGTCCTCGTGGGTCCTGAATTTTGTTTCCTAGAAATGGATTCGTGCATTTGGTAATTCGGGCTAAGCTGCCTCCCCCCTCGGAACTCGAAGTCCAGGGGAACAGACCACAGACTGGCACGCGCGTGCTTCCCGCCTCGGCGACTCAGCTAGTGGCAGGGCGGGGAAAGAGTCGCACCCGGATGTGGAGCCGGACTCGGGCCTCCTGACACCGCGGAAGCCCCGCCCCTTCCGCCGCCGGCTGACGCCCGGGCCGCAGGGCGGCGGAGCCCGGCGCCTCTCGGCCCGCCCCTTTTTCCCGCCCCTCCCCGCCTCGCCCGCCGGTCCGTCTGTCCGCGCTAGCTGCTGTCAGAGACGAGGTGTATGCTGAGCCGCTGTCGCTGCCGCTTGCTGCGCACCATTAACGCCCGACCGCTGCCGCCGATCCTCCCGTCGCTTCTCCTCTCCCCTCGCCGCCTCATGAAGCCGGTGGTCGTGTTCGTCCTCGGCGGTCCCGGCGCCGGCAAGGGGACCCAGTGCGCCCGCATCGTCGAGGTGAGGCCGGGCTGCGGCGGGCTCCTCCCGAGGCTTGACGGGACGCGGGCGGGCCCGG